GTTAGGTTAGGTACTTAATTGCTCTTCAAAGCAGTATCAATATTTTCATTGTTTAATGATTTTGTTTACTATAAAAAATGTATACATAACATTATATTAAAAGAATCAAATAGTTATGGAATATACTATATATATTATAAATTATACAAATATAAAATATCAACTGAAAAGAAATATGTATTATTTAATATTATTACATTTTTTTCGGATAATTTTATCAATAATAATTATCTAGATAAATTTCTAATTTTTTCCTAGATTGAAAATTTTAAATTTCTTTGAAATCTACCACACCATGTTATTTCTATAGACGTCACTCACTGCATGCGAGGTCATGTGGATGACCCAGACGAAGAGATTATTCGTCCGGCGAATGTTTTGTTGCGGTGCTATTGACATATTATATACCGTAATGTAAAGATAGCTTAAAACGAGTGTTTGGTCACCAGCTGTCAAACGCCACTGCAGGCTTTGAAAGTTTGTGTAGTACWCCATTGTGTGCTTTCGTCCCGAGTTCGCTTCGCATCACTTGAGTGCCCTGATGGACGGTCCGCTGTATTCACCTGCAGACAGTCCATTCGAATCCACTTGTGCGCGTTCGCCCGTTCGACGTTTTGTGTCTCCGTGTTTGTGGCTGTTAGGGTAAGTTTTCCATACGTATTTTGTAGGTACACCGTGCCGACATCGGATTTCCATACTTGGACGAGCACGTCGAATACCTGGATCCACCAATCTACCGCCGGAATAATAACGTCAGTTGGATATCGATTTTGAGCCTTTCTAACCACGAACCTAAGGCGATGTTTTTGCAGAGAATGAGTTTAGATAAAAAATTATACGTATCAACGATAAGATGGCTATACTGTCAAAATCGTATGTAGATTTAGACGAATAAACGTTTTCGTTATGTTACTTAATTGGTTTTTATTTTATATAGTCATCACTTTAATATACTATACAGTAGGTATATGTAAACTATATACCAATTAATTTACGCCACTTGTAGAAATTGTGTCTATATTGTACAGGTATACATTCGGTTTTTTGTAACCAGTGTAAAAATCTCACGAGGAGATTTGCATTGAATGTCYAAGATTTTTGACCACAGAACAAAAAAAATGTTATCAACACATTAAGGTACATAAAAAAAAACCAAAAACACTGAGATATTACTCTAAGAATGATAATTATTATAATTATAATAAAAAAATCGATATTTTATACTCTCAAAAATATTCATCTCTATAGTTTTTATGGTGGGTAATTTTACTCTAATTTCTAAGATAAAATAAAAAAAAAGATTTTGTGTGAATGCGTTTTGTCTGTGTTGTACGCGAGTGAGACAGAGAAAACAAATAGTGCGCTGAAATCCTCTAAGTAGTTATTTTAATGGGTTAAAAAAAAAATTCAGTTAGTATTAAAACATGCTTATCTCGAAAAAAAAACAATGACACAATTTAAAAACAGGAAACAAACTTTTTTTTATAAAACGCAAAATAGGTTCTTGTACCCTAAACGGATTCAGAGAATCGTATAATATAACCATGCAAGTGCGGAATAAGTACATTTGTTGATATATTACATATGAGACAGATAGAGAAAACAAAATAATATGTTGAGGAGGGGTTGGAGAATGGAGGACCTTTAATGTATAGACGTTAAACATACACTTCGGATTGCAAAATGTGCATATTATTGTTGTCTTTTTTTTTTATTTGATTGTTTCAATACACTAGGCATTTTTACAATGTTAGGTGTTATATACGATGAATATAATTATATTGTTATCATTGAGTTGAGTTTACATTTTCGCGTTTCTATTTTAATGATTTTTATCATGAAAGTTTTTCACTTTGTTTCCTGTAGCCAATCGATGCATTATTAGTAATAGAGATCAATCATTGTTTAATTTAATACGCATTGAATTTTCTACATTTTAGTATAAATAAATAATTTTCATATTAAAAATAATATATTAATGTGAATCAATATCAAGTAGCCAAGTAGGAGAAAAAAGCTGATGTATTATATGCATCCATATATATTTGGAAAATAATAATATAATGGCTAGCTTGTCAGCTGTTATCTGATAGCATAAAATTGTTATTACAATTATATTTCACGTATCTACTATACTAATAATCCCTATACTATATACTAGCTGAAGTCAAGTAAGTCAACAGTAGTCAGTACTAACTGGCTTTAGATAACGGTAAACTGGTACCTACCATAAGTGTAACTAAAAAAATAAACSATCGTAAACTTGTTTTTATCTTCACCTGAAACTAAAACTGAGAATYTGTGAARAAATATATCTTATTGAACACTAATCATATTTCATTGTATTGTAAGTTCTAAATTATAATATAGGTACCAGTATTTGAAGATTTGTCTTCATAACAAACAGAATTGTTGATTGTAGTCGATAAACAAAATAGTTAATTTTGTAAGATTAATGCAAGTCTGAATTTTAAAAATGTACAACTATACCAAAAGATCTTTAATGTGTAGTATGACTAGACTATACTAMATTACTACATACACGGCCGGCCCAAGGTATTTTGACGCTGGGGAAAATTTTTTGAAAGGCGCCCTTAATCAAAGGCTCCATAATACATTTAATACTTTTTATACTTACCTACATATTTTGTTTAAAATTCTTATACTTATGGATAGGTAAAGGATTGCAAAACTTATTTGGATACAATTTATAGACGTATCGGCTGTAACACATACTTTTTTGGTTTTCCCGAGTTAATGAATATAATATATTATCATTGTATATTATTTTTTAATTATTTTTAATATAATAATAAAAACTGGAAAGTGGAGTAAAATTTATAAAAAAATAAATATATAACAGAATATTCTGTCATAGATAATTTAGTCATTTAGCTATATTATTGTCAATGTGAATAAATATTACGCTAAAATTTATAAAATATTCGTATATTAAATGCGCCCCGGGCTACCGCCCGGTTCGCCCGTATCTTGGGCCGGCACTGTATACATACTACCTATGATAATTTATTATTGATTGTTATTTAAATACTTATATCAATCAAATGTGTTATAATTTAGACAATAATAACATTAACGTTGTCAGTTCTGTCCTGCTCTGGTTACCCCTTACCAGCAAAGAAATATTCTTTAACATTTTTACGTGAAGCTTGTAATTTGTACGAATTTACGTTTGTTATGAACATGTGTAAATTTATATTAGTGTTTTGAGTTATTAATTACAACATAGTTACACTACTAATTACGTACAAGGGTGGTTTCAATTCCCATAACATATTTTGTACACTTAAATTTAGTAAAAGTATATTAAGATAAAAACAAAAATACTTAAAAAGACAGAATGTTAAATTTTTCCTAATTCCACTAGGAATCCAATATGATATGGGTTGCAACTTTTGTAAGAGTTTATCTTAAGTATGTATAATGTAGTATGCGATAGTCATGCATTCAAAAATATATTGAGTATAAAATAAAAATATGGAGTTTGTTTATCAGTATTCAGTATATGTAAGTACCTATGTGGGGATATGTGGACGGATYTTATGTATGATATTATGTTCAACATTTTTAAATCGTGTTTACCCAACAGAAATTACATATGGGTTATTTGTATATATAGATTATAGGTAACCTAACCTAACCTACCTATTCAAAATCTAACCAAATAAGAAAATTTTTCATAAATATATGAGTCTCAGTGGAGAGTGAAAATAATATTTCAGTTTAGTAAAGTTTATATATATTATGTGGTACTTACCTATAATGATATAGATATTAATTTTTTAAATTAATTTTKTTTCTGTCAAAACTGATAGAATATCGATAATTTTTGCTACCTACTTAACAGAAAAATAACATAAATATTTGTTAATGTTATTCTAATACATTTTTAAAATTATGAATTACATAATATTGAAACATTATTCAGTCAGCTAGAAATGTATACTACTAAATCATATTTTATATACGTATTGCACTTGAGGTACTCTGAGAACACCTTACAAAATGTCCCAAATAAATTATGATTCTATATAACTGTATGTCTGTATTATATATTGAAATGCACAGTTACGACGAGATAACGATCGCCGACTGAGTCCTCTTTAAATGTATTGAAAAAATATGTTCAAAGCCCTATATTTTCCAATTTGTGCCTTAGTGGAGTGGATTTTTTTATGTAGTCGACCAAGTAATGTATGCCCAGGTTACCACTGAATAAACTCATATCTACTTTTATGAAATGCTAGTATACGACGTAGGTATAATATTCATTAATGCAATGCATATTGTGTGTGGTTAGTGATGGGGGGTAGTTGATAGCAGTGATGTATCAATGGGTGATATGGGGGCGGGGGGTAATATCCTCTCCTCGGGAGGTTATTATTTTTTTTTTTATTCAAAACAATATTTTGATRATCATATATTCTTATGAACAATGAACATTGGACACTATTAACGAAAATGGATGGTATTAAAGTCAGTATATTAGGTATTTAATTCATCAACTAWGTGCACAGACGAAGTCCGTGACTATAAGTTGATGATTTGATGGTAACAGATATTGCAATACTAATATATACAAGATTTAAGATGAGTACTGATAATCAACTTTKTATGCTATCAAACATCAGTAGGTACACAAAAATATAACTGTCACACCTGATGAAGTATTCAATGTTAATTCATTGTCCTCAAGAAAATTTTACTTTGTTGTTAATAAACAAAATTTTGTACACGGAGCAACATGTTAATACTATATTTTAATACGAATAAATGTGTATACTGAATAATATATAATCTATTAAACATTTTATAACCTTCTACCTCCCAGTGAAAAAAWTATAGATAGAAGTAAAGACAACACGTGTGTACGTTTATTGATTATATTTTAATCGTTTATTTATAACCTTATAATTCTATTTATTGAATTATTATAATTTCTAGTAAAACATAATAATTTAATATTGTAATAAATTAGCATCATGTTAATATATTTATACCGTATACAAATAATTTAATATAAAAACGTAAAATTAAAATAAAGTCGCTTATAGGAAACCGTTGTTGCGAAATGTAATATTGTATATTTCCGCATTTGTAATATACACAATATACTCGAATAATATTATTAGGTATGCTAATAAAATCCCATGGGAGCATATATTATTACCTACCATTATTATACGATTGAAAGCAATAATGTGGGACGCGCAAAAACTACCAACTACATAGTAATAATAATAATAATAATAAAACAAATAAATATAGGTTCATGGGCGTTGGGTTGACGAGGTTGTAAGGCTCGGCCCCTTAAATAGGAAAATGATTAACAATAATTTGCCAGTTTCCTATCATATTTTTAAATCAAACGTTCGCGGGCGTGGGTTGTTGTTGGTCAGTAGGTGCATTTGAGGTAGAGGTGGTTCCGGAATTTGTTGACTGGTTCAAATTCAGTCCCATGACTTGGACCAGCCAAGTGACACCCTGCACGGCCGTCTGTCCAAACGCCTGTATGAACGCCTCTTCGCTGGGGTCTACACCTTCCTCGCCCTCTTCTTCACCCTCTTCTTCTTCTCCCGATTCCGTACTGTTGTTGGACTGGTCTTCCGGAAAATCAACTACTCTATATTATACAAACAAAACGGGAAAAAACGTAAAAATATGGAAAATGTCTAACTCAACGTTGATTTTTACATTATTTTGCGAACACCTTGCAAGTATACGCTGCTCAAGTAAAGAAATATCAATGTAAGGCGTTTATTGGTGATGACACATTATTATTTCATGAGCGCGTTAAAGCTACTTAACATGTTAATTATAATAAAACTAAAACTCAATCTGATCATTGCGATCTCGGGTTCCAAACGACAACTATAATCGTTAAAGGGAATCGGGGATATTAACTAGTGGATTTGAAATTTAATATTTGGAAAAGTATTAATCCTTGTACATTTTCAAAAACTTCATAATTTTTATAGCACCAGTGAGGAATATAATGGGCTCTTTTAATATGAACTGTACAGAAGATTATTGATATTTAACCAAAAAATAAAAATAAATTGTTTAATTATTGATTTAAAAATGTTTAAGAAAATATTTCATTAAGCGGCCCAAATAATTACACAAACATTATCATACAAACAGTTTTGAACTAATCAAAACTTTTGATATTATTACAATTTTAATTCAATGACATAAAATCTTAAATCAAGAGAAAAAAGTTCCCATACATAGCAATTTTATGATAAAGCTTATCATTCTGTTTTTATTAAATTGGATAAACATATACACATTATATAAATAATTTATAATTAATTGACTAAAAAAACATTATATTAGTAATAAATAATATGCTATCAAGTTGTGTATATTGTATGAGTATACAAACATTAATATTGTGAGACGCCTTACTATATATTTGGCACCTAATAATATTATAAGTATTCATTGACAACTAGCAAGCATGAAACAATCAAATTTGAGTTATGGTTACTTGTTTTATGATGTGTAAATTAATTTTAGTAGAAATAAATAAACAGAATTTTAAGAAGGTACTTACATTTTAAGGACCGTTTTAATATCATGATTGATAAAAAAATATTCTATAATTTCATTTACTTGATCAATTGTAGTTTAAGAATTCGAAAAGTAACGTCCTATCCGAAARGAAGTACATCTATTTACACGGTGGCTATGTTCCAGAAACTACTACTTTGTTCTTAAGTGATATTGATATGATACATCGAATCGATACTAATCACGTACCTATTTAACTGCACGTYTCGTATCATCACTATTAACACATCCTTTTCTCGTATAACTACTCAGCTTCTAGTCACGTTTCTGTACACTTTCAACGTTCAGTAGACACGTAGCGTTTGACACATTTAATAAAAATACCAGCAGAGAGCCTATGATATGACAGAATTAAATGTCTAGTCTCCCAGATCGAGTGCAAATGAAATCGATATATTATGTTTGTCGTCACTAGAGTTTGTCACTAGTCACAAATCGCTGCGTCGATTCCCAGCTATATTATTCTAGAATTAACTCTAGTATATTCATTATGTCTAACTTTTTAATAGAATCAATATTTTTTTTAACTTCAGCACTGACATAATATTCGATGTGTCAAAGTGTATGTTACATTTAACAAAAAGTTGTAAATTGTTATTAAAAATTATATTATTATATTAAACGTACCACTGTGAACAACAGTTAATTAATTATTTGAAAATATATATATCATTATTTATACTTTATACCTATTGTATTAGTGTTTCAATTGTTAATTTTTACCTTTTATACATTTACTTATTGTTCTTAACATAATAGATAGGGAATTGCATATAACAAGAAAAAATTGTTATGTTAGGTATATTAATTAAATTTTACTTTTTAATAATACATTTTCTCTTTATACTTAAATATATTTTTTATAGTTATTACTCATTCTATCTGTACGTAAAATAATTCAAAATGTAATCATCACAAAAGTATTCATAATTATACAGTTATAATACTTGTTATAATTATATTAGTAGATAATAGGTACCTATTTAAGTTCTTRTGCGGAATATTATTTGGGCTTAATTTGAAAAACTATGAAATAATATAAGATGTAGGTATATGTATCCCAACTATTTTTTATTTAGACTTGTACCAAAAGAAATATTATATAATAAGTTATAGCTAACTTGTAACACCCGTGTTAATTAATGCATTTATACCTATATTTCTAAACTCAAAACTTATTTGATCGATATTKTATCTGAGGCCAAAAAAATTTAATCCACCTTCACGTATTTTATAAATTGAGAAAAAAATAATTTTTTGTGTTGAAGTATTATAATGGCATATACTTACGTAGAGTTGAAGATTAATCGATTTTGGTCCATTTTAAAGCACCCCATGGGAATCGAGTTTTGAACTTCATTTAATAAGGTAGCTTCTAACTTTAGACAACCGTCAAAGTCTTTTGGTGTAGACGAGTTACCCACGAATCTAGCGCACAGTTGACCGAATCCGACCAGCACGTCCATGCACACGGGTTCTGGGTTATTTCCTGTGACATACAAATCGAAATGTAACACTCTGAAAGTATACCTACATAGTCAATTAGTGCATGGTTCATTGATATTTGGTAGGTAAAATAATCGAATGTCAAAAAGTTGTATTACATGTAAAATATATTTAAAAATGTATTTTCTTTGAAAATTGTATTTATCAGTTTGTGACATGATGATTGAGGAATGCCGTGAAAATAACACGAGATTTTTAAAAATTATTTTCGTCATTATTAATACAATTAATTAATTAATTAATGACAAATGGTAAAATATAAAAACAAAAATACAAAAATCTTAAACAAAAATGAAAGTTGATCGTGCATTAAAAACTAAATGAAACAATTTCTTCAAGAAGCACCTATATCTAAGGTTTCGGTCAATTACGTTTCTATTGTTGGCATGAAATATGTTCATTTTCATGGTTGATTAGTCTTAGAGAAAACATACTTCAGATACTTTAGATAGCAATACTTTTTTCATATCGTAAACTGTCTTATAATAACATAAAAAAATATTTATTGTGCATATCATGTATCAAAGATTATGACTTTATTATACATCAATAATTTAATCATTATAAAATTAAAATAATCCCTTGAATTGTTTTGATATATTAACATTTAATGTTTTATATATTTATAATAAAACACTTAATCTTAATAATTCAAGATTTAATATTTTGCATTACAATTTTGAATGATAAAATCAGTTTAAGTATTGTACAAACTACAAATAGGTACAGCTGGTTGATTTTATTTTTAATTAAAAATTTAATTAGTAACTCGTTTGCTTTGAACGTAGTTGATATTTTAAAATTATTTATGGATATAATATACAAAGTAAAGGTACCTACTTATATTATTATATTTTATTAAATAAGAAAATCAATTGAATCTTTGTTACACGAGTTTAAAATGTATCTAAGTTAGTAAACTATAATAAGCATTAGTTCCATCATGGATTACGCATACCTATATTAAATCGTATATAATATCAATTAATATCTTCTTTATTTATTATTTTCAGTTTTATTTGCAAGGCATAGATATACTTAAGTGTATATAATATATATAAAATGATATTTTATGGTGATACTATTACCATCATTGCAGGAATGATGTGATTACATGTGATTACTTCGGGAGTGGGTTAAATAATAATAATAATAACAAATACTCGTCAGTCATTATTATTAACTATTGATGGGTAGATGGCAACTTGAATACATTTTTTTTCTTTAGGATGAGGAGGGGAGGAGGTGGTTTATTAATTTGGATTATGAGTAAAATCTATAAATCCATTACAAAYTCAATTATATACCTTTTATATTTATACCTAATGCACATTGKAAGAAAATGATAAATGATTATTATCCTTAAATATACTTTATTCGTAATAACTATATGTATGATGATAGTATACAACTATAGTATACATAGAATTTGGAAAAAAAATTTAGGGGGAGGATCCTCCATAGTTGCGCCGTTATTGAATGGTTTATTTTTCATAACATTGTATTGTTAACTTTTACAAATCATGATTATAGATACTTAATTTATATTTTTATTGTAGTTTATTAACATCGATGGAAATGGTCATTATAGTTACATTTTTTTGGTTTTGTTATCAAACCTTAATATCGTTATTAACCTAACTGAGATATAGGTTTTAAAATTATGGACCACTATTTGGTAGCATGGAATGTGAATTTAGTCGTTATCAAAGACCTAACGGATGTAATGTATATTAGTGGCGTGGAGATTATTTGTAAGTTATAACATATATATTTTCAATACCCTTAATTCCTTTAAAATAATACAGTACATAAAGTTATTGCGATGAAATAATTGTTGTGTTATATTATTGCTGAACATAATGTATTCGAAGGGCAATTACCCACCAACCTACCATTTTTTATTTAATGATACCAATTTTTGAGAAATTAAAATATGTTTAAGTTAGTTAAAATTATTATAATTATAGTTATTTTTATTAAATAATAAGTGTAATATTATTTCATGTTATATGTATTTTAAATTATGAATTAATTTTATAATGTTTATTAGATATTTAAATAGCAATACTATCTATATTCACCAATTACGAAATAAATGCATACAAATTTCATTTAAAAGTGTAAAAATGTAGATACAAATATACTAAACTGTTTCTAAATTATAACGGACCGTTACTAAAGTAATTACCGCTATTCCCTGATTTTATTATAGAGTATCTTATAAATCGTTGCAAAWCTAATCCAACCGCATATTATTTTGTGAAAATTGACATATTTTTAAAACACTTAAATAACAAAATGTCATCCAATTAATTAACTATACCTGGGGAAAAAATGTGTGTACAATAAGTTTCTTATTAAAAACTATTTGCATGGTACATTAATATAGGTAATCTTTTATTTCATGTAACATTTTCTAAATTCCAAATTCTAAATCATATAATTACTATCGATTTGAAAAAAAACTTATATATTGATGTACTGTACACGATGTAACTAGTATAATATATTTATATATGTGTAATATTAAATTTTATAGTACAGCTTTTAATATTTAGGAACGTAATTACTAATTTGTAAAAAAATTTGTTTTTTGTAAATCGATTTAGATGTGTAAGAATGCCGATTGATTTTCACCTATAACTTATAACATATTATAATATACTAACTGTCAATAAAATTTAAGATTTATATCAACTAAATATCTACTAAAAAAATTGAGTAAATATGAATATAAATGTATAACAATACAAATGTGTAAACCATCAATAAATTATAATAATAATATA